AAGCATCAAAACTGGTATAAAAGCAGTCCAGAAAACTCCTTTTATTATAATTTAATTTGTTGGGTCTTTGTAATGTAGAACAGACTGGAGAGTCTGACAGAGGCTGAACAAAAATAATATATATATAATAAAAAAACGGTGAGTTGCTGCCCCCGAGGCACATTTTTATGGATTTTTATTGGATTTTTATTACTGATTAAATAGCAAGAGCACTTTCTAAACTTATACTTTACATGTCAGAATCCATCGATAAGGTCCTGTCTCCTCTGTGCAGCACCTTTGTGGAGTCTGTTCTCGTTATTGTTCTCCGGGCATCGGGTCCTCATGTTGCACCGGCACAGCAAACGGCACTCCATATGCCAGTGCAACATTGTGCAAAACTGTACTGGCCCAAATGATGTCCCACACCCTTTCAGGAGTGTACAACAATGTCCCCGCTGCTGGTCCAAGACAGGGACACCTGCCTTTTAGGAGTCAAATGCAACGCTCCACAGTGGTGCATGTGTGCACGATGTTAAAACGGCACTCCTGCTCTGTGGCAGTGTTTCTGGGCAGAGTTATTAAATAGGCCTATTTATGGAGGTATTTTTGGTGCAAAAGGTTTGTGCATCTGTAATATGTAATTTGTAGTTGTTTACAAGTAAATGTAAATGTTTTCTTCATAAACATATTTGTGTCAAAGCGCATGCGTGAGACAGCGGGAGCCGCGAGGAACCGCTGTCAAACAATGGGAATTTAAATCTTCTATTAAGAGATAACCTGTTGATAAAAGTAAACGAAAAGTAGCCTACAACGCCTGACACTCGGACCCAGAAAAGCTCCAAGCTTGAGCAGGACATTGAAGAAATTTGGAGGTCCTTAAAAACCTTGACCGAGCAAATTAGCAAAGTGGTTAAGCTACAAGCTGAGATGAACCTCCTCAGGGAGGAGAACAAAAGTCTCAAGTACCAGGCAAAAGAAAGAGATGAATGAATCTACAATCTGGAACAACTTGTTGAAGATATGGAGCAATATTCTCGTAGAGAAGACGTAATCCTAACGGGAATAAAAATAAAACCAAGAACATACGCGAGAGCAGCTGCTTCAGTAAGCAACGGAGAAGACGCCCCGGTGGAAGACCAACAAACCGTGGAGATGCAGGTGGTCAGCTTTTTCGAGAGCAAGAACATACAACTGGATCCGAACAAGATCACGCCGTGCCACACTCTGCCTCGAAAAGACCAGAAAAGTGCTCCAGCTGTCATCCTACGCCTTGCAAATCGTAAACACAAGACAGAGCTACTAATGCAAGGAGAGAAGCTAAAAGGAACAAATGTATACATGAATGAACACCTCACAAAAGGAAATGCCTACATTGCAAGAGAAGCCTGCATCATGAAAAAACAGAAGAAAATTCAAGATACCTGGACCAGGAACTGTAGCGTGTTCATAAAACTAAATGGAGCCTCTCCTGAAGTTGCCAAAGTCGTTAAGGTATGGCAACTCAGTGACCTTGATCAGTACAGATAAGGCTAAGGGCCTTGCTTGCCTTAAAATGAGGTCTAGGGGAAGACAAAACCCTATGATGATGAACTTAATAATGCTTTTGCTTTTTTACTTCCGTTTTTTTCCCTGGAGAGTCTTTGCGCCTTTTTGCACAGAAACTTTTTTTTTCTCCCGTTTGCAGATCCTTGCATGGACACTTTTTTTTCTCTCTCTTCTACCCTTGGCTTATGCATGGATATTGCATGGATATAGGCCGTATAATGCTGACTCTTTCCTATTTCTTTTGGAACTCATACTTAGGATGCTGAATGGCTATTTTTTGTGGACTATTAACATTATGATTGCCCTTCTGGCAATATGATGGTTGCCTTTTACTGGATTGATTGCACTGACTTTTCTATAGCTTACTCGTCGCAGCCTCCGAGAGACTGGCGCTGCTTGTTTTTGTGCTACAACTTCTCTTTTTTCCCCTCTGCCAGATTTTTCTACAGTTTTTTTTTGTTTGTTTGTTTGTTTGTTTTTTGTTTTGTTTTCCAGTCCTTTTTTGTATGCTGGTGTTGTGGTGTGTCTGTGGTCTGGGTGTGTGTGCAATCTATGTGTGTGCGTGTGGCTTGTGTGTGTACGAGTGTTTGTGTGTGTATTTATATGTCAACAAGAACATGATGAGGGAGCCATGGTGTGTATGTGGTTTGTCTATGTGTGGGCTATTTGCGTGTGTGTGTTGTCGGTCTGTGCAAGTGAGTGTATATGATACCTCTCAATGTGCGAGTCGATATGGGAAAATGATGGATCAGTATGATGCATGTTCGGTGCCACATACCACAGGACCATTCACAGACTGTGTTATATGCTTATTATGTGTTAGATGCTTATGCTTTACGGACATAACGAATCAACTGTTCAGTGCATGGTCGGAGTTGTATAAGACTGTGTTATATTCTTGTGCTTTGTGGACTCCTCAGAAAAGCGATTGCGCGCACGCCGTGAGTGAAATCCCTGATCTAGGATCTCAGCGTGATCTTTTGCTAGAGAGAAATACCTATTCAATGTTTCTCAGTGCGGTAGATGAGAATGAAATTGTAGATATTGTTAAAAAATGTAAGAATAAAAGGTCTACTGATGTTAATAACAGACATGATAATAGTTAAACATGTAATTGAGGGCATTATTTAACCATTAATTTTCATTAGTAATTTATCCTTTCAAACAGGTTCATTTCCAAATAAAATGAAAATAGTCAAGGTCATTCCTCTGTTCAAATCTGGTAATAAACATCTCTTCACAAATTATGGACCAGTCTCGTTACTTACCTCAATTTTCAAAAATATTCGAAAAACTTTTTAACAACAGTGGGATATATTTCTAGAAAAGAACAAAATACTGGCGGAAGATCAATATGGTTTCAGATCGAATAGATGAACATCCATGGCAATTATTGAAGCAATGGAAGAAATAACGAATGCAATAGATCAGAAGAAATATGCAGTCGGAATATTTATTGATTTACAAAAGGCGGTTGATACAATCAACCATGATAGACTAATTAAAAAATTAGAAAGATATGGAATAAGGAGTATAGTGCTTGATTGTGTCAAAAGTTATTTAAATGGAAGACAGCAATTTGTGAAGTTAGATGATTGTTCCTCTGCATGTATGGACATTAAGTGTGGTGTACCCCAGTGGTCAGTTTTGGGTCCCAAGTTCTTTATTCTGGATATAAATGATATGTGTGATGTGTCCAAGTTAATGCACTTTGTGCTATTTGCAGATGACACCAATATTTTTTGTTCAGGGGATAACCTGAAACAACTGCAGAATGACAGCAATACTGAAATAATTAAATTAAAGCTATGGTTCGATAGAAACAGGTTGTCACTAAATGTAAAAAAGACTAAAATAATGTTATTTGGAAAGAGCTTGTCAAACTTGCAGATAAAGGTTCAAATTGATTATGTAGAAATTGAAAGAGTTAAGGAAATAAAATTTCTGAGAGTAATCATAGATGAGAAAATAAATTGGAAATCACACATCAACCACGTACACAATAAAGTAGCAAGGAGCATTGGGATCATAAGTAAAGCTAAGAAGGTACTGGACCTGAAATCACTACATACACTGTACTGTTCGTTAGTCTTGCCTTACTTACAGTACTGCATAGAAGTTTGGGGGAATAATTATAAAACAGCAATAAGTTCATTAACAATACTACAAAAAAGAGTCATACGTATCATAAATAATGCGAACTATCAGGATCATACAAACCCATTATTCATACAGTCAAAATTGCTAAAACTTTATGACATTGTGGATTACCAAACAGTGCAAATAATGTATAAAGCTAATAGCATGTTATTACCAGGTAACATACAGAAACTGTTTGGAGAGCCAGAGGGTCATTATTATTTAAAGGGGAAATCAAATTGTAATTTTAAAGTACTCTATAGACAAACTACCGGTGAAAGCTTTTGCATATCTAATTCGGGGGTGAGACTATGGAATGGGTTGAAGGTGGAGTTAAAAACAATCTTAAATATAAAACAGTTTAAATCAAGGTATAAAGAAATGATCTTTATGAGGTACATGAAAGAATCTATGAGTTGTAAACTCGTAGATTTTTTTTTAATTTCCACAAGTACAACACAACATTTACACATTCACAAATTCTCAATTACACAAATCCTATTTTACAATTCACAGATTCAAACTCTGACATGCTCACATTTTTGCTCCTATTGTTGCAGCATATTTGTATCCACCCATAAAGCACATATTAATGCTACTAACCTTATTTCAGCAGTTTTTCTGTTTGCTGAAATATGCACAATATCCATTAATTAGCTATTGAGACAACAACAAGACATATTTTTGGAAATATTACACCAGGAAAGTCCACCCATTCTTTGGGAAGGTCCCAGAGAATCAATCTTTATGGGTGAATGCATTTCTCTGCTATACTGATGTCTGTAAGTATGTGTTATTAGATTTCTCATCAAAATAGGTTTAAGTGAAGCTGCACACCTTTTTGTTTTGTTTTAACAATAAAAAATTGTAATAAAAATAATTGCTACAATAAGTCTTGAACTTATTCAGTCTACAAACATTTGTGTTAAAGTCCTCATATGTTTGACATGCTCTCCCGTATGAGTCTCTCTGAACATTTCTGTGAGTCATGGAGAAGATTCCTGCGGTTGTAATTATCAAATTGTAGGTGTGTTTTAAAACAACACAACTATTTTTGTGAAAGCTTATTGTACACAAATGTAACATTTTTTGCACAAGTTCAAATAAAAATCTGCACATTCAAATTTTGTCCACAACTTCACATTGCTCCATACAGGTGGTGTGTGTGTGTGTGCTTGCACACAGGGTCTGTGTGATGCGCCTAGTGCAGTAGTGCATGCATGCGTAGTAGTAGTGTAGTAGTGGTGTGTAGCTTGTGCATGTGTCTGTGCATGCTGCATGTCGCTTCTGCTTGCTGTGCTTTGCCTTTAGCTACTGCTGCCGGCCAGCCCTCCATGCGGGGGGCGAAAAGAGGAGCTGAGCGCGTAAGCCTCCTACTGCCAGTACACAGCCTCTCCACCATCAAGACCCATGCAGTGCCTCCCAGCGGCCACACACGGTAACTGGGACTATGCAGTCCCAGGCTAAACTGTAGGGGATCAGGGAGCAGCAGTGGGGCCCATAGACACAGTGTGCAGGCCCACCGGCAAGTGGACACGCCCTGGCATCAGTCAACCATTGATGGGCAGCCGGGGCTCACAGCCTTGGATGGCAACCCGTCTAGGAGAAGGACACTCTGAACTAAAACTGGGACTGCAAGGAATTGCGCCCCACAGTCTGCTATCAGCATAGTAAAGCCAACCATGGAGAACAAAGTTTTGCCAAAACCTAAACTTCCAGCGGCGGGAATCCGCAGCGGACGGCGGTGCTGGTCCTCCTTCTGGAGGACACCATGATGACAGTACCTCAAACCCTGGGAGTGTCCCAGGGAGGGTCCTGTCTGATCACAGCACCCTGTCCATGCATTCATGCGCTGTCAGAGACCATTTGTTATCGGAACCTTCAACGCATGCACAGCGAGAGAAGAAGCGAGGCCCAGGCCACAACAGGCGATGTAGGGTTAATGCTGGGCCCCCAGGCGCGCAAGGCTCTTCGTTGGGTTTACCACCACACCGACAGGATTCTGAGCACTGAGTTCTCGGGCAACCCAGTAACAGCAGTCATAGTCGTGTACTCATTCACCAACGCAGCATCATCTGAGCAGGTGGAGAGTGTGTGGACCCAAAAGCAGAGGATGTGAGGCAAATGTTCTGTTTCCAAAAAAGGCAAACTCTTTAATCCAGAAAAACCCGGCAGGGTCAAAATCAACAGGGCAGCAATAATCAGGCGACAAAACCAATGGGGCAGGCAAGAATCAGAAGTCCAGGGAGATCAAAACAGGTAAAACAGAGGGCAGAGAAATATCAAGAACGCCTTGATATGTCGTATTTTATTCTTTTAGTCCCTCAGTTTTTCCAGTGTTTCCTCCTGGGGGCTGCTTCACCGGAGGCGGGTTCTGGTCTGTTGGTGGGGGCGCCGTTCTGGGGACAGCTCTGGCCCGGGTGGAACCAGAGAGCTCTACACCTTGGTGCGGAGCCTCCTGTCTGCCCGGGCTGGTGGTCCCTGTGACGGCGCCCCCAGCAGCAGCAATGGGCCGGGATGCCTCCCGGTCGACGTTGCCCCCAAAGGTAGCATCTTCCTCACCTCAGATCTCAGTGCCCAGTCATGTCTCCTCACCATCAGCTGCTAACTGTGTAGATGCGTATGTATGTGAAGTTGTGTGTGTGGAAATGTATGTCTATGTTCACGGGTGTGTGTATGGGTATAATTGTGTGGGTGGGAGGTTTGGGGTTTTCTTGGGGATTTTAATGTTTCATTTTGTTTTTATGCTTTGTAAGGCACTTTGTGTTACAACTTGTAGGAAAAGTGCCATATAAATAAAATAAAGTTGAAAGTTGAGAGAGCTTGTACAAAAGTGACAAAGACAATCTGGCAGGGAAGAGCTAGTGAGGAGGGGTTAAATAGAAAAGGGGACAAGACACAGGTGAAGCCAATGGAGTAATTAAGTAAGGCGGGAAAAAGAACAAATACAGAAAGTAAAAGTAACAGTAACACAGGGAAAACGGGGTCTTCAAAATAAAACAGGAAGTGGATTCAACAAAACACAGATCATGAGATCGGTAGGCTCAGACCACTGTGTGGTCTCCATGAGAGTTCGCCTGAGCCTCAGGGTCCCCAGACCAAGTCCCAGAATCCAGTATGACTGGAAAGCTTTCTCCATTGAACCTGGCCTTCAAACCAGATACACGGAGGAAATGAGGAAATAATTCTGGCAGCTGGACAAGGGAGCGGAGCCCAGTGGCGAATACAGAAGATTGGTCACTGCAAATGAGGAGGCCAGGCTGTGTGTGCCCATGATGGAGAGAGTTAGAACCCCTCTGCGATCCAAACACCTAGAGGTTGTAGCAGAGCGGGGGAAGGTGGAGGAAGCCCGCCTCAACTTTGAGCGGGAACCAACTGCGAAGAGGCGTGGGGAGCTGAATGAAGCCAAACAGTGTCTTTTCAGCACATATGACACCATCAAAAGGGAGGAACTGATGAAGAGAGTGCGGAGGGTGCAGGAAGTGCAAGGTGAACATCAATATCGGGAGGTCTGGAGGGTCATCAATGAAATGACGGGGCGGAAGAGGACCAAAGAGGGACAGGTAGAGGGACACAGCACTAAGGAGAGGGTGACCACCTGGACCAGCCACTTCCTCAGCTGCTGGGCGCAACAGCTGATGCAGCTGAGGAAGAAGAGGTACCACCAGTCCTTCAAAACCTCAACATTGAAGATGGTCCCTTCACACAGAGTGGGAAAAAGTGCTGGTCCAGATGGCATACCCCCAGAGGTCCTGAAGAACTGTGATCTCAACAACATCATCCTAGAGTTCTGCAACCTTGCTTTGCTGCACAATCCTGACATGTGGTCTCTATCGAACATCGTCCGAGTGCCCAAAGCTGGAGACCTCTCAAAGCCAGACAATTACCAAGGCATCAGCCTGACATGCATCACTGCGAAAGTCTACAACTGCATGATACTAAACAGGGTCCAGCACGCAATCGACCCTCACCTGAGGGAGAATCAAAACGGTTTCGAGAGGGGCGAACTACTACAGCCCAGATCCTGGCACTTAGGCGAATGATTGAGGAAGTGAAGAAGGACAACCTGACTGCAGTCCTATGCTTCATAGATTTCAAGAAAGCATTTGACATGATCCACTGAGGCATGATGGTGAAGATTCTGAAGGCATACGGTATTCCTCCCAACCTTCTCCGAGCAATAGAGACCATGTACGCAGGAACAAGGGCCAAGGTGGTGACCCCAGATGGCAACAGCGAGGAGTTTGACATCCTGGCTGGGGTTGTGCAAGGGGACACACGAGTCCCTTTCCTCTTCATCATAGTCCTTGATTATGTGCTCAGGAAGGCAATCAGTGGGCGAGAGCAGGAACTTGGCTTCACGCTAACACCAAGGAGGTCGAGGCAACACCCTGCAGTGGTTCTCACAGACCTTGACTATGCGGATAACATAAGTCTGCCCTCTGACAACGTGGAACAAGCACAAGAACTGCTGAACAGGGTAGAGCTAGAGTGCGCCAAGGTTGGCCTTAGGCTAAATGCCAAGAAAACTGAGGTCATCACCTTCAACGTTCCACCAGAACATCAACCTCTGACTACAGCAGGAGGTGCTGTGCTGAAAGAAGTCGAGGACTTCAAATACCTGGGCTCATGGATCAACTCAACTGAACAAGATCTAAAAGTGAGGAAGGCACTTGCATGGCGAGCCCTGAACGGCGTGACCAGTGTATGGAACTCCAACCTCCCCCGTCAAATCAAACTCAGCTTCTTCTACGCGACAGTAGAGTCCGTTCTCCTCTATAGCAGTGAATGCTGGACCCTGAAGCCAACCCTGGAGAAATCCCTAGATGGGTGCTACTCCAGGATGTTGCGTGCAGTGCTTAACATCAACAAGAACGCACATGTATTCAACAGAACACTCACCAAGGGTGAGCGAGAAGATTGCTGTAAGGAGAATGAGACTGACAGGACACTGCCAAAGGCACCAGGAACTGCAAGCCAGCAAATTGGTGCTGTGGGAACCAACACATGGGCATCGGTCAAGAGGACGTCCTACACTAACATACGTGGACATACTCAAGAAGGATGCAGGAGCTCAGAGTACCAATGAACTGGCGAGATGTATGGAAAATCGGGATGACTGGAAGTGACGATGGAAGGCTCTTCTGAGGACGACAATAGGAGCAAAAATGTGAGCATGTCAGAGTTTGAATCTGTGACTTATAAAATAGGATTTGTGCACCTGTAATTAAGAATTTGTGAATGTGTAAATTTTGTGTTGTACTTGTGGAAATAAAGAAAAATCTACAAGTATACAACTGATAGAGTATGTGATTTCCCATTTACTTGCACACAACTACAAATTATGTTACAGATGCACAAACCTTTTGCACCAAAAATACCTCCATACTACTTACTAGGAACATAACAAATTTATTTTATTCTATTTATGGCTTAATCTTTAATGAAATCTGGCTGACTGTGATTAATGACAGGTTTGAGGTTTGTTTATCAATTATTTTGAGACGGACATTTGCTGCATTGCAAATCTGCACTTACTCAAATTTGGGGTCAGGTCTCACACGATGTGAGACCTGTCATGAGATTTGATCGTATTGTACGCTCACGTTCAAATTGAAAATGTCGATCCTTGCGTGGAAATGGTTTTATGGACAGTTTTCTGACGTACATTCATTTGATAAATGAGCGCCAATGTGTCTTGTTGCATTGCAGTAAAGTCCTTTTTCTTCTCACTGAGATTTCTCAAGCCAAGAGAATTGTCTTTCTATAAAAGGTGTGATCAAACTGTCAGAGTTTTGACTTAAACCCTGACCAAAATGAAACTAAGATGAAAACTGAGCTGTCCTGACTAAATCTTGACTACAACAACACAAAGACTAAATGACAAAAATCATTATTTTTTTTTGTTTTTTTGTTTTCTTTTAAGGACCAAGAATTTTACTAAATTAAATTTCTTATCAAAATTGACATAGATTTGTTGGCAGGAAACGGGAACTTTCTCCATCTGTTAACTTGTTTTAGTTTGGTACAGCATTTGAAAATACAACCCCACCCCTGCATCCTTCACAAGTTGTGTTAAACTGTAAAGACTTGACTCCCAGAACCTCACAGATCCGTGTTGATGTCAACCCTCAGGACTTTCCATGTTCGCCTAAAGGCACAGCTCATGTTTGCTGATGTTCATGTTCATCTGCCCAGGGCTGCAGAATAAGATATAAGACCTCCAGAGGTTCAGACTTCCACTAAAACCTCTTCAGTGACTCATTTCTAAGCTGATTCGACATATTCAACTGTGTGGAGCTTATCTGACTCACTTTCTCTTTCTTGTCAGAAAAACCTCCTAAGCAGCTTCATGGAACAGAAAAAGAGGCAAAAAAGGGTGACCACATGTCCCATATTGACCTGAACCTTCCTGTTTTCAAGCTCTGTGTCCTGAATCCCCTCAAAAATATCTATAAAACATGGACATGCCTCAGTTTTGGATTATCCCAGTCCTGCCTTCAACACATTCATATACCGAAACAATGCACAGCCTGTGCTTCTAAGGAACAAGATGCAGCACACAGGAGTGGACCACCACCTCGCATCTTGTCTGCTTGATTATCTAACTGACCAGTCACAGTTTGTTAGGACTTGTGACTTTGTGTCTGACACTGCTGTCTGCAGTATTGGGGCCTCCCAGGGGACAGTTTTTGTTCCCTTCCCCTTTACCCCGTACTCTGCAGACCTCACCCACCACACAATAAACTGTCACTTGCAGAAGTTTTTGGACAACTCTGCCATCGTTGGCCTCATCGCCAGTGGTCTTTATGGGCTGGTGTCAGCAGAACTTCCTCTAGTTCAGTGGTTCTCAAGTCCAGTCCTCAAGGCCCACTGTCCTGCATGTTTTGGATGTTTCCCTGCTCCAACACACCTGATTCAAATGATTAGCTCGTTATTAAGCCATTACAGAGCTTGAAAACGAGCTGATCATTTGAATCAGGTGTGTTGGAGCAGGGAAACATCCAAAACATACAGGACAGTGGGCCTCGAGGACTGGACTTGAGAACCACTGCTCTAGTTTAACACTGAAAAATCCAAGGAGTTGGTGGTAGATTTCCGCAGGTTCAGACCCACCCCTCCCACACCAGGGAGCACTTATCTTATCACCTTATTTCACCATCAGGTTAAAACCGGTCATCACCTTGGTAGTGTGAATGCACATATAAAACAGTTCTAGTTTAGTCCTCTGGGATCTCACGAGTGAATTCTTCTTCATCAAGATGTTCCTGATTCTGTGCGATCCAAACACTTTGAATAGAGCAGCCGTCTGATATGAACTATCCTTCACATACTAAAGAGGCATCATTGATCGACCATGTAATTTTTAAAAGGAGAAGAACACCACAGTACAATTCATGTTTAAATCAGACATTTGGGAAGCTGTCAGTCTCAATGTGTCTTGCAGACTTGAACTGTGATGTTTGTTCCATACCAGCATGTAAATAATTAAGATAAAAATGATCTTGTAGTTAAAACCACCTCCTTTTAGTTTGGACTTTTACAGACGACTGATTGGTCCAGCATAAAGCTGCAGAGCATGTGTATGTGGAATATTAGGAAATTCTGTAATGCTTTTGGACATGTCTGATGACCTCTTGATCTCTCTCTATGCAGTAAAATTCAACAGTTTTTTCTGTCTTTTACTAGTATCCATCAAACACTTTGAAAATGAACCAAAGACTTTTGATGTCATACTTTACTCAATCTTGCTGCTTCCACTCCAAACTCTGTGCAACCTGCCTCCACCCCAGCTCCTCCTTTTATGCTGTGTCTGACCTTACCAGTGTCAAATCTTGTCAACTGGTGTCAGCTTTGCAAACATATGGAGCAGGTGTATTTAGTAGGAGTGGAGGAACGTTTAGAGGGGACACTGGAAGTGGAGGGGGGAGATTATAAAAGGGCACCAGGTGTTACAACTCCTCCTATATTCAACCAGGCATCTGCTCCGCAGTGTCATTCCAAACACAGTTACAACCGGTAAGGTAAAACCAATCACTACATCAAACAGTGTGTTCAACCCTGGGTTTAAAAGTGCAACTGTTTTGATGTAGTGAGCGAGTGAAGATGGCTGGATGTTTAAAAACTGTTCCAGGTTTGTAGGACTCCTTTTGGACTGGGTGTTGTGTATTAATGCCAGATAATCTTTTTTTTTTTTTTTAATTCAATGTGTTTGAGTAGTTTCCCTGGCTTGAATGTATTAGTCTGAACTTTCTGAATAGTTTTGCATTTTGAAGCCTAGAGCTGCTATACTATTAAGCAACTGCACATCATTGCCACCCACAGGTACAACTCAAATAAAGGTTAGGTAGGCAGGATCTGAGTAAGTGCCACTTTTCAGGAGAAATCTTTAATGTAAACACTACCCCTCCCTACCAGTTTTCCCCTCAGCTCCTCCTCTCCCCTCCCTCGCTGCTCCAGCAGGCCCCGCCCACAAACAAATGCTTGTGCTTGCTCATCTCGTTCTGACTCCCCAGCAATTTACTAGCAGACTACCTGAAGACTTTGACCATGTCCCATTCTGAGGTATGAAGACTTTCACTGACACTAAAGTCAACTTTTTACCCTTACATAAAACTCACTGTTACATGCTGTGTTATTATACAGTATAAGTAAAGTACGTTTTCACGCCTTGTGAGCGCTTCATTCTATGGCACAACAAATAGGTCCCTTGCCACCCAGAATTTCCAAACACAATACAAATTAAAAAAATAAATAGTTAAATAACAGCTGGAGGAACATCTCCAACTAATGGGGTTAATTTCTAACAGGTAAGTAACATGACTGGATAAAAACAAAATACCTTCAGAGAGGCTGAGTCTCTCAGAATAAAACATGGATGAAAGAGGTTCACCACTCTGTGAGAGACTGAGTGAGCTAACAGTTCAGCAGGTTCAGAATAATATTCCTGAGTGTCAAATGTGAAAGAATCAGTGGATTTCATCATTTACAGAACATAATGCCATTAAAATCTCAGCAAGACAAGGACAAACCACATTCTGCA